TACTTGTCTTCCTCTCACATGCAAGCATCCTTTCTCTATCACGCCTTCCCAACTTCTCCTTCCCCCTGGCCTTTCTGGTGCTTCTTGAACAGAAAAAAACAAATATTGCCTCCTGGAGACATCAACATGATTCACATGGAACATTACCAATGACAAAATGACTTATAATCATTGATTTCTGTGAAGGGCACTCCGGTTGGCATATGAGGTGCTTGAGGATGGAGACTGTATTCTAACTCCAAGTCATCAGTGATTAGTGGGATCCTGACCCATAGGAAATGAGCCCTATGGTTCTTAAATGAATAAGTGAATGAGTGAGAAAAAGAAACAACCTAGTTCTACTCAACACTGGAATATAACTGAGTAAGGTGCTGCATATTCTAAAGATAAATTATTAACCTATTTGTACCAGAAATCAAGTTTTCCTTGTGTTCGCCAATAATTTATTACTAATATTTCCTTGGGGACAATGTTTTAATAACAAAACAATGGCTACCATTTTTTTTTCTCCCCAGTTAGGAACCAGGCATCTTCTTAAAGACCTCATGCTCACAGTGAGCATCTATGGATTTGTGTGTGCTATGCTCTCTTCTTCTGTGAGGGCACCACCGCCCACCTCCTGCCACCCTACCAACCACACACCCAAATATACCTCTTCTTTTAAAGACTTGCCCCTCGCTCTTTATCAATCTTGTCCTAACTGGGGCTGCCAAGTACACAGCCCGGGCTATGGACATGTGTGGCCACAGCCAGGTCCACTGTATTCTTTGTGATTTTTAAGTTGAAAATTAGAAAAACACACATGCTCCATTCACAAAAAAAGAGTCTCACAGAAAAAGGAGGTTAAAAATAATACGTTTGGTCAACAGGGGACGTTATTACAGCTGTCACTTGAGCCAAAGCACCCTCTCCATGTTACTGAACCAGCAGTTGGGAGATTTTATCTTTTGCAAAAAACTACCCATCTTTCCAAGTACAACGCCATCAATTATCTCATTTAAGCCTATCACCAACTGTGCATAGCATACATTATCTTTATTTTATAGATAAGGAACCGGAAGTTCAGAACTGATAAGAAACATGCCCAAGGCATCCAATTAGTAGCTGAGCTGAGATTCAAAAATGGGCCACTCAGATGCCCAGATGTAATCACTCTGCTTTCCTGCCTCATTTTAGTCTGTTCCACTTTGGGCATCCTAAACTCCAGGAGCTCAGTGCCCCTAGACCAGTGGTTCTCAATCTTCCTAATGGTGCCACCATTTAATATAGTTCCTGTGGGTCACAACCCACAGGTTGGGAACTGCTGCCCTAGACAATAGGTGTAAGTCTTCCCTTACTTAATAAATATAGATGCTATTGGACTTGATTAACACTTGGGGTGTTATACACTTCAACTGTAACTTGACAAAGTACTCTGAGAATATAAATAGACATTATTTGACACCACACTCACATTTTCTTCTCGCAATGGCAATAATTGGGAAGCAGAAAAATAGTAATTGTCTTTTTTCTTAAAGCAAACTAAAACAACTGCATATAAATATTTGGTATCAGTAAGTAATTGAACACTAATAAATTTGCTTTAGCCACCAATATAATTGGTATTTTAGAAATGGGTTTCCTCAAGAGGTGCAAAATTAAAATAGAAACCATTTCTAGGAAACTACATCTTTCTACCTTTATAAACATCCTTTCTATTTAACTAGTTAGATTTCTAATTGGGTACTATTCTGGTCTCAGCTGCTTGCTTAAAGAACTAAAGTAACCATAGTCTCCAAAGTCAATTATGAACACAAATCTCAGAAGTGCTTAGAATGATGAACACAAGAATGGAGAAAAACAGATGTATACAAACCAAGAGAAGATGGATTTGTGTGTGAAACTAATTTTCCTCGGAAGAAAAATAGATATCTCCTTCGACATGAGGGTGCATTCAGATTTGTTTTGCATATTAGTAACTTATTTAATATGGGAATGGGCAAAAGACAATCCATTAAAAAGCAATTTTCTTCTTACTACAGGGTGTTTTATCATTTGATGTCTAGCATTCAATCAGAATGTGGCAATCTTTTAATATTTTATGAGCAGAAAACAACTCATTTAGGCATGTAGGCCTCAGAAACGTGAACATTTTCTCTAAGACTTAGAAAATTCCTGAATTGGCTTTGCTGATGATGGCGAGCAACAGGTCAAACTCGAAACTTAAACTTAAAACTATAAAGAATTTGGGGACATTATGCTTCAGAATGGACGATGGGCATAGTATTAAAAAATAACAATGATATAACTCATAGGGAAAAGTATCAGTGTCAGCTCGTTCTTCTGGTTTCCGAGGTGTAAGAAGCTCTCTGAAGTCCCGGGTGGACAGGGGCCTTATCTTGCTTCACCTTTGTACCCAGGGTCCCTCACAGACCCTGACATGTAACTACCTCATGGATTTTTACTGAACAAATGAATAAATGCATTTGGGAAAACTTCCCCACTGAGCCCTGGCCCCACCTATCCAAGCCTGGTCTCACTGCAGAAACCAGGGCTGACCAGAACACTGGCCGTCCTCTCTCCTCTCCACCGGGAGGTGAGAGATGGAACAGTCCACAGTGCACAGGAGCATCTGTGGTCCCTCCAGGAAGCCGCCTTCATCTCCACTCTATTATTTCAGCCCACAGGTAGGGGCCTCTGTCCTGGTCCCTGGACTGACTACCAGGTCCTCAAAAGGCTGGAAGGGCCGCACTACACCTGTTGGGCTTTAGCCCCTGTTCTGTAGCTACCCCATTCCCAGTACAGAGCAGACACTCACCCGAGGAAGGCAGACTGCCTAGACTCCCCCACCAGGTGGGGCCTTGCACTGGCTGGGTCCAGGCCATGCCAGGTCCACATTTATCCTGCCTGTACTCAGCTGGAATCAGGCCGTCTCTTCCAAGTAGGTCTCCTCAGGATAAAGATAATCTCTTCCTAAGGCCGTTCCTAAGTGGCTCTTCTCACTGTTCTCATTGCCTTTCAGCCACAAAACAAAAACAACTACTCAAATCGTCACCTAAAGCACTACCACCCTGTTTCTGGATATTCTCTGGGAAGAACATGAGGATGGAAGAGCACAGTGCACTGTGAGTGATTCCCCCAGGATGCCCAGGGCTCCCTTCCTTCCCCACTATCTCCTTCTCCTAGGCCATGTCACTGTGTCACCTCTCTGTTACCTTTTAGCATGATATACACATGCCCCCTGGGCAAGGAAGAAGAGCAGAGGCCTTGGCATGACACGTCACACATAGCACAAGAAGAGGGTCTTTTCTGCTGCCATCAATAAGACAGCAGACAGCCAAAGGGTGTCCCCGGGGGAGGATGAAAGTGGAGGGGACAAGGAAAGGGCAAGACTCAGACAGAGAAGTAGCAGCCTAGAGGAACACGGCTACTCTTCAGGTCCTAAAGACTCCTAGATGGTCATGACATGCGTTTCAGCCAGTGACTTTTAATAATTTTCCCCATGAAATTGAGATAAACACAAAATGGTCACGGTTATCAGCCGGAGGAGCTCAGGAGGATTTGTTTCATTTAGGATTTATGTCCTTAAGCTGAATAAACAATAAGTGATGGCTGCAGATTGAAATTTCAACAAGTTAGCCTAATTAAGGGGGAGGAAAGATAACTCTAGTCAAGGATGCACATAAGCTGAAATCTTAATATTTGATGAGCCGTAACCCAGAGAAGATTAACGCAGACATTTCTCAGGGTAGGCTGCCATCATTCCGCACGGAAACACCAAGATTGGGGCTCGTAAGCGACGTACTTTTATGGCAATTCCATGTCAAGTCGGCAGCTTTCTCCTACCTGCCCGCACTAGAAGATGATAAAGTCTCCTGTTCTTAGGTTTTGGGTTTTTTTGTTCTTTGTAAGTATTACATTTTCCAGTTTACCTCTACAGTTCCTCTAGTAAGTTCTACAATGTAAATAAAACATTACCCCCTTTCCAATTTAATCACAGGATTCCATCCCATTTATCATCTCAGACCATTATTTTAAGCTCTCAGGCAGGTAGCTGAATATTTATGCTTTCACAATAAACCAAACACCCCAACATTTTTCTGGCATTAACAATCTTCTCTGGTGCTCATATTATTAAACCTACGTGAAAAGATTTACGTGTGTGTCGGCTCTCCAGATGTTGGAGGGAGTAGAAGTCAGCCATTTTAAGGAGACTTAACATTGACAATGACACTGGGGACAGATTAAATCACACCCACCTTCACCGGTTAGAGCCAAGTTATGCCAGTGAGCAAAATGCAAGAAAATTACCATCCTCTCTTTTCCAGATGTCCTCTCATAAATTGTGTGATATAAGGAGGAAAAAGAGCAATAAGCATATCTCTAACCACATTTCTCATTTTCAGTGACTCATTTTCTTTAATAATTTCTTCTTTCTCCGAGAAAGTGTTCCAAACAACGGCAACACAGGGAGCAAGAGAATTTCATTAAGGTACTCAATTTTACTTGATAAAGAAAAATCATTTTGAAAGAAATAAAATCATCTACTGGTAGGTCATAAAATGGAATTTTAAAAAAGAAATCCTTAGTTCTTTTTTTCCAAATAGAGGCAAGACAGTTTGAGTACGTATGCATTTTCATAATACTTGCAACACAGCCACAGATACCTGCAAGTTTCTCTCTTCCCATAGGTTTTGATAATGTTTATTGCTAGAATTGACATGCAAAAATATATATAAGAGGTGTCTGGTCTCTCCCAGACAGCTGCACCACTTTGCTCATCTCCCAGCAGCATCCACAATGGTGCTGTGCACTGACTTAACCACGCTGTTTACCCTACACTGTGGATCCCTCAGGGGCAGGGATGGGTATTTTATCCTCAGAGCCAAAGAATAATCAATCCACAGAGATGACCACAAAAAGTGTCCGGCACCCTGGACATCTTTGTACACATGGGGGCACAGCCCTGGAAGCTGGGTCTCTGCAAGCTTCACACTCACGTGGAAAACCAGGGTACTTACGCAGCTCGCCCACTTTCAAGATCTCACAGAGCATCTTGGTCAGCTCTATACTACTGCGGCCAAAGGGACATTCGTGCTTGTCTTCTCGGCTACTGTTCTCAAGCACAATCTGCAATGAAAAAGAGAACAGATCAGAAACAAAATTCAGTTGCTGAAAACTCCATTCCAACAAAAAGGTCTGCTCCACATTCCCAAACTAAGCTTCCCAGGATCAGGATAAAATGGTACCCAAAGTACACAAGACCTACAATTTTTTCAAAGTTTCTGATAACCCTCTGACCCTGTAAGAGAGTATTTTGCTTGTTGGTTTCCATTTACACAAAAGTGCCTATAAAGAGTTCTTTGCAATGGTACAATAAAGACTTTTGACTTAAGAGATCAAACTACTCTCTTGCTATCCTACCCTATCCTATCTTCTTTTCTTGGGAATAGCAACTGTTTTTGTAGCTTCAACTCCTAAATTTCAATTGAGTATTTTCCAAGAAGTTTCCGTGATCTTACAAGATCTCACCCTTTGACATCAGTTGACTAAATCACACCTGGAAAACATGTGACACAAACTGGACCAATCAGAGCCCTTCCCTGAGACTTCTCATACCAAAGGGGAAAAACTGGCCCAACTGCTCTGAAGGTGCCCCTGGGGTGTGCCCTCAGGAGCTACCTGGGTGTTGGCCTGCAAAAAAAGATAAAGAAGCCAAAACACAAAGAAAAAGAGAAATGAAAGACAATGGTGGCCCTAGAAGCATTTTAGTCACTGGTTGAGCCTGTTTCTGTAGCACAACTACTTCCCTGTTTTCATGGTTGGTCTGTTCAATTCTTCCTCTGAAAATGTGTTTGCCCATCTAATAAATTGACCTCTTTTCTTAAGCTAGTTTGAGAGATTCCTATCACTTATAACTAAGGGAACCATTCTATGCATGGATTAAACAAAATAATAAAACTCTAAAGTACATATCTTCAAATCCAAATGAGGAGACTATTTAATCTCACAAAACAGCCAGTTTACCCACAATCAAAGGCTGCCTCTGAAACTCTTCCCCGGGAAGAGCTGTCTGGTCTCTCCCAGACAGCTGCACCACTTTGCTCATCTCCCAGCAGCATCCACAATGGTGCTGTGCACTGACTTAACCACGCTGTTTACCCTACACTGAGGATCCCTCAGGGGCAGGGATGGGTATTTTATCCGCTTCATCAACAATATTAATTGAACCTGTCATTGGCTAAGAAGATGGCTGGGCCTTATAAAGTGGAGAACAAGACAGACAATGGCCCTGACCTCCCTGAACATTCATGCTGATTGAAGGGGACACAGAAAAACAAGTGCTATGAAAATAAATAAGTTGTCGGGTGACGAAAACAACACAGAAGGCTTGAGAAGTGACTTTCGATAAACAGGTGGTCAAAGGTTATCAGACTATTGAGTATCAAGGCATGAGAAAGAACTTGCTATGTCAATGTCTGTGAGAAAGAATCTTCCAGGCAGAGGGATGGAGGTCAGAGCCCCCCCAGGCGAGCTGGGCAGTGTGCTGAACTCTGCAAAACACACCCAGCTCAGTCTGCCAGAGCACAAAGGTCGCTTTCAACTCTAAACCTGAGTCACTGTCTTCTTTTTAAGGGAACCCTTTTTGGTTCTAATCATACATTCCGTTCCAGAGAGCAGGAGAACAAGTAAATTCCTGTCAATCAGTGAATCTTATTTCTCTTTTAAAAAATTTGTATTTGAGACAGCCAGATCAGAGAGCAAATATGAATCTCCTGACGAGGAGGAAAGAAACTGGGGGAAACACACACACACACACACACACACACACAGCGAGGAGAAGACAGGACATAAAGAAAGACAGGAGACAGGTAGTTTTCAGAGGCTACCAGCTCCCCAGGAGCACGTTTCCTTGTATTTCACATTACCATTCTATTAACATTTCATGACTGCATCAATATTCAATGAGGATGTGAGGTGCATACACTGTAGGTAGAATTACTGCAGCCAATAAATGTTTGAGAAACATTTTCCAGGCACAGTTTATTAGCAGGCACTAAATTAAGTAGTAATTTAAGTAATCAATATGGAAATAAGCTTGGAAAAGCCCTTCTCTTTATCTTTTAATGCACCATCTATCTTACCATATTTACCTACCTAAAGAAAAATAAACCCTCCTTCTTGGCTGATTTCTGTTGTCAAGGCAGATAGGAATATTTAAAGCTACCAGGATAAGTTTTAAAATCAACATTCTGACAGAAATATTTTAGACAAGACTGTGATTATGAATATTGCTAATTAGATATTACTATAGTGAGAGGTGATTCTTAAATTAGAGAGTAGCTTTTTTTATTAACCACCAATATTTCTCCATTCAGTTTTGATATTCTGATATTAACCATGTCTACCCAAGACATTTTGAATAGCTCCATTTGGAAATAGAGGCATATTTTTTCATCTTTATTTTCTCCTCACTCCTCAGTTTTAAAAGCAAGTGTACTATAAAACCACAATGGAGTTCTAAAGCCTGCTATTAGCACTTATCTTAGAATGACATAAGCCAAAAGAAGTAGTAACTCTTTGCCATGTTTTATAAAAACCAAAACGCCAGATAGCTGTGCAATAGAAAGCATACTTTATAAAATACTTTATAGTTTACAGGGTACATTTATATATTCTCTCTCAACTGATTCTCAATAAGTCTATAAGATTTTTAAAGTAGGTATTATTATTCTCTTAAGAAGGTTGATACAATGGCCAGGCAAGGTGGCTTATGCCTATAATCCTAGCACTCTGGGAGGCCAAAGCATGTGGATTGCTTGAGCTCAGGAGTTTGAGACCAGCCTAAGCAAGAGTGAGACCCTGTCTCTACTAACAATAGAAAAACCAGGTGGCACTGAGGTAGGCATCTGTGGTCCCAGCTACTTGAGAGGCTAAGGCAAGAGGATTATTCGAGCCCAAGAGTCTGAGGTTGCTGTGAGCTGTGACACCAGGGCACTCTACCCAGGGTGATAAAGAGAGACTCTGGCTCAAAGAAAAAAAAAATGTTGAAACAAAAGGTAGTGGTGACTTGATTAGGTTCCAGAGCTGGCGTCTGTCAGTCCTGGGGTTTAATTTTTAAGGTCTTCAATGACCAAATCTCTCCTTGTCCCTTTACAGCCTACAAACTGGCTTCACATCCATACACAGTACCATAAAACGCAATGGATTTCATGTCTAATGAGGCTCAGGGAAATGTTATCAATTTTCTCTGTCTCACTGAAGTGAGTCTATGGATCCCAGCCCTTCCTATGCAAAGCTATCAGGTTCTCTGTCATTTCATTTATCCCCTGAAGATCGGTAACAGTTCCCTCAGGGTGAATGACCGAAGCTTCTGTGGAGTATCCCAGGCTTCACGTCCATAACTTCCAGGCTCCCCTCAAAATGCTCCACGTTTCTCATTGTTCTCTCATTGGGCAGAGTAGGAACCTATTTGGTTTGGGCATGACATTAAGTGCTAAGGACAATGCCAGGTAGACTCAAGATTCCACCCCTTCTCTGGCTCTTGTGCCCTCTTCCTTAGCATTAGGTCACTGTCTCACACTCAGCTGGTTGTCTCTGATTCTCTCTTCCAGTTTCTGTTGAAGCTTTCCCCATTGGGGCTGAGTGTGCTCCATTCTGCTTCTCCTGCAGCCAATGCTGGAGCAAGCTTTGAGGGCTTCTCCCTCTCTGAACTGAGTTCATGTTGCTTTGACTCTCACCTAGGGTCAGATGAGGAAGACTGGTCTCCTGGGAGGAAACACGGAGGGCATGTGTGAGGTGGTACTGTGTTCTCTCCAAAGAGAAGGGGCTGTCAGCATTGCCTTAATTCTGACACAACACTACAACCAGAAGCACTGATGATGTGCAGATCCTGGGAAAAGATGCCAAAAACCAGCACAGACTCTCACAAGGCATTGCATTTCTTCGTGAGGTACAGAGATGTTATATAAAACTCACTTCATGGGAGTGTTGTGACCGTCTAGTCACATAACAAAAGCAAAGTGCCTAAAACTGACTCTAGAGAGTTAGTGTTGCTCATCCCTTTATGGCCTCCCTCTTCCTAGTCCTCTGCCAACATTTCTACACAATATTTTTACCTGCAGCTGAGCTAAAATCACCACTACAGTGAGACTGGCTCTCTGATGATGGGCCTCTGGGACTCATGAAAGTGAGACACAGACCTGCTTGTCCTTTTAGCACGAGAGGCATAGAGACAAAGGAGCCTCCTCATCTACCTACACCAGAAATGCAAAACAAGAAACCCCCTGTCCTTAGGTTCAAGCAGGATTCTCCCACAGGAACACAGGGTGGTATTCACATGGAGAAGGAGAAAGGACCCCAACAAACAAATCACTGCATGGCATGTCCCTGGCAATAAAGACCCCAAACTCAGCAGTTCTAGTCACCTTAGGACACCCATCCTCAGAGCCCTTATCTTCATAGGCCTGTCTACTGACCCACTGGAGAGAAATGCCAGTGTTCTCACATGCTAAACCAATGAATAAACAAACACCTTGTCTGTGTCAATGAAGTCCCCCACACTGCAACAAAGAAGTAGTTTTCCTATGGGTGGAGGGAGGGTGGTTGGTGGGACCATGCCTATGGTTTATCCTATAAGGGTACATGTGAATCTTTCTAAATGTAGAATACAAATGTCTTAACACAGTAACTAAGAAAATGACACGAAGGCTAAGTTAACCAGTTTGATGAAAATATTTCAGATTGTATATAGAACCAGCACACTGTACCCCACGACTGCATTAATGTACACAGCTATGATTTAATTTAAAAAAATTAAAAAAAAAAACAATTCCTTGATGAGTTAGAAAAAAAAAAAAAAAAAGAAGTAGTTTTCCTTAGTAACATACTTGGGAAACACCCCGGAATAAAGCTTTTGTCCTTAGATCCATCACCATGACCCAAGACCTATCTAAGGTCAAGGAATAAGCCTGGTTTTGCCTCCTCTCACAGAGACTGGAAAGAGACACAGCAGTCGCTTCCCCTCCCTTCTCCCTTGGTACCAATGATGCGGATGAGCAAGTCCAAGAAACTCAAAGACAAGCATCAGAAAGATGCTGCCTCAAAAGGTTGCTGCACAGGATGTTGCA